TCTACTGCTTTTCCAGGCACATTAGCGGGAAACTGGATCAGAAGGAGAACAGCCAGGACTTGAACCAGTGCCCATGTGGGATGATAGTGCTGCAGGAGGCTGGCTGTGCTATCTGACATAGCAACTAATAAAATACACTTACGTTCCTATTTCACGTAGTATATTTAAAACACTTAGATGACTTTAAAGATAATGGATAAAATTAATATTCCAAAATATTTTTAACTATGAGAATAATTTTGTATTCTTATGATGTGGTAAAGTGTGATAAGCAAGATAAGAAAAGATAAGCAAGATAAGAAAAGCAGAAGTCCTAAAAGGGAAAAAGAAACTATTTTAACTGCCTCATAGTTTCTCGGTAACCACATGCATTGTGTCCAAAGATCAAAGAGAGGATAAGCCCTTAGCCTAGGGACTCAGACACCAGTTAAGATGTCCAAGTCCACTTGGAATGCCTGGGTTCCATCCTTGGCTCCAGCTCCTTATTAATGCAGACCCTTGGAGGCAGCAGGTGGCTCCAGAAATTTGCTTCTCGTCACTCATGTGGGAGATGAAGCTCCTAGCTTCAACCCAACCCAGTCCTGGCCATTGCAGGCCTTTGGGGACTAATCCAGTGGGTGTGAACTAACTCTCTCTCTCCTTCTCTCTCCTCTTCCCTGTCCCGTCTCCCCTCTCACCTCTCCCCAGCTTCTAAAATAAATAAATAAAAATTTCAGAAGATCAAAGATGGAAACTATATACTGGGAAGAAATATTTGCACTATATATGGGGAGAAATCATTCCTGTGAGAAATTTGTAGCAGCGGGAAATGAAATAGGTATTTCAATAAATATAAGCCCAGTGAAATGAGCTCTTAACTAAGTATTAAATTCTGAAATAGGAGATGTGAAAAATCTTAGTATGGTTTAAATTGTCTGTGGGAATTTCATAACCTGCACATACAGTCTAAAAGACACGTTAAGATCGAAAAGCTGATAGTCTGTAAATTATACATTTGTTTTTAAAGATTTTTATTTTATTTATTTGAAAGAGATACAGAGAGAGGTAGAGACAGAAAGGTCTTCCATCCACTGGTTCACTCCCCAGTTGGCCGCAGTGGCCATAGTTGCACCAATCCGGAGCCAGGATCCAGGAGCTTCTTCCAGGTCTCCCAGGCAGGTGCAGGGGCCCTTGGGCCATCTTCTACTGCTTTCCCAGGCCATAGCAGAGAGCTGGATTGTAAGTGGAGCATCCGGGACTAGAACCAGCACCTATATGGGATGCAGATGCTTCAGGCCAGGGATTTAACCCTCTGTGCCATAGCGCCGGCCCCATTGTAAATTATACATTTTTTTTTTTTTTTTGACAGAGTGGACAGAGAGAGAGAAAGAGAGAAAGGTCTTCCTTTTGCCGTTGGTTCACCCTCCAATGGCCACAGTGGCTGGTGCGCTGCAGCCGGCGCATCGCGCTGATCCGATGGCAGGAGCCAGGTACTTATCCTGGTCTCCCATGGGGTGCAGGACCCAAGGACCTGGGCCATCCTCCACTGCACTCCCGGGCCACAGCAGAGAGCTGGACTGGAAGAGGCGCAACCAGGACAGAATCCGGCGCCCCGACCGGGACTAGAACCCGGTGTGCCAGCGCCGTGGGCGGAGGATTAGCCTAGTGAGCCACGGCGCCAGCGTAATTTATACATTCTAAAGTGAAGCTGAAGAGAATGAGGACCATGAAAACCCACATGTGTGAGCCTTCCAATTTTCCTGCCTTTAAGGGGCCCATCGAGACCCTTACAAGGAGACGTGGGATGGGTGGACAATGCCTCCTTTCCTGCACTCTGCTTTTATGTTTTCGAAAGTAGTAAACCTCTCTAGGCTTGATATTTATTTATAGGTTAATTTATTTGGAAGCAAATGTATATGAAAGAACCTAATGACAGTGCTGGGACTCACTTACACTTTAGTAAATGTATGCTGGACCTGAATTTGCATGTTGCTTAGTAATGAGACCCAAGTGAAAACTCTGGGAAACTTGTTTGGATGACCTTGGTTGGCTGCCTGTGTTTCCACGTTGCTGTCTCCTGCACAACCATTGAACGGTGTCCTTCTCTTGTTCTGTAACCTGGCTTCAACACGCCTTACAGTTCTGGAAGAACATACTGATGGAAGATAACATTTAAAACTAGCAAATTCCGAGCTGACGAAGGTGGACGGGAAATGGTCACTCTTGCACACTTTAGGTAGGAGTGTGAAGTATTTAAACTTCTTTGGAAAAGTCCATTCTCTAAGAGAAATAAAAGCACCTGTCCTCTTAGTGGCAAACACTGAAACCAATGCAAACGTTTATCAGTAGGAAAATACTTGAATACATTATGGTATTACCACTCCAGGGAAAATCATTTGCCTTAAAAAAGGGGAGGAGGGGTTTTTATCAGGGGAAAAGGACAGGTGTTGGACGAAGGAAGAAACTTTTATTGCAAGATGAGGAAGTGCCAGCAATTCAATACACAACATGGTGCCTGTGGTTAACACTGGATTGTGTGGATTGTGTACTTACAGTATGCATAAATGTTTTTTTAAAAGCTTATTTGGGGCTGCGGATGGAGCAGTGCTGTGGCGTAGTAGGCTATACCTCTACCTGCAGCACTGACATCCTGTAGGAGCTCCAGTTTGTGTCCTGGCTGCTCCTCTTCTGATGCAACTCCCTGCTAATGCGCCTGGGAAAGCAGCAGAAGATGGCCCAAGTCCTTGGTCCCCTGCACCCATGTAGGAGACCCGGATGAGGCTCCTGTCTGGATTCAGATAGGTCCAGGTCCAGCTCCAGTCATTGTAGCCATTTAGGGAGTGAACCAGTGGACTGAAGATCTTTCTCTCTCTGTCTCTCCTACTCTCTTTAATATAAATAAATATATCTTCTTTTTAAAAAGCTCATACAGGATAAATAGGTGAGAGAGAGATGAAACTAACATAATTGTAATAACCATTTCACAAAATGCGTGTGTATCAAATCATCACACCATAAATCATTCCATTGCATTTGTCAATTGCATCTCAGTAGAGCTGGAAATTGTAAAAAGGAGAGAGGGATTTCTGTATGTATTAATTAGAACACTGCCCATGTTTCTCATAAATAAACTGTTAATAATAAACAGCATACAGTACTCGCTTTGTTGAAAGCAAAAACTACAACCCAACTATAGAACACAGTGCAAACCCATGTATGTTTGTACACAAGCATGACAGGATGTGCCCCAAATTGTTTGTTAGCCACAGCACACAGGACATCTGGATCAGCAAGGAAAGAGTGAGACAATCGTTTTGTTTCTTACTTATCTGTGGTTTGAAGGCCTGAACCAAATCGGTGGTAAGAGGAATTAACAGACGAGCAGGAGAAGTGCTGTAGAAATGGAGTGGGGGATTTAACTGCGATTTGGATGTGAGTGGGAGGCAAAGAAGTCAATGCCGACTCAGAGGTCCACAGCCTGAACCGCTAGGGGCAGTGCTTCCGTTTATAGAATCCAGGATATCACGAGGAGGGGAAGTCGATACTTTTTATTGTTGCCAGCGGAGAGGTGACCAGCTCAGGGTATCAATCCCAGCTGTGCCGCTGCTTGTTTTTGGGCATAATTGTTCCTGCAGGAAAACTTCTTGTCTCGGCCTTCAAACCTCAAGAACTTCTGCTTTAGTTAAAGGGTGGATTCCTGGTGTGTGATTTGTATCCGGAAGGTGTGTGTTCAATGTTGCTGGCTAGTGGCATTTCATGTAAATTATACAACTACCAAGAGCTGAAAAGTTTTATTATTTTACCGGATCTCTGTATTCCCAAACAAAAGAATTTTCTTTCTGAATCAGAAAATATAAGAACGTAAATAATCTCAACTATGTAAAAGAAAAGTAAGCTTTCCTATTGTGTACAAAATCGCAGTCTATAAAATATGACCTGTATGATGTTTTCCGTGTGTTTCTTTGGTGTTGCCTTTTGCATGGCCTTTGTAACTCAGTGCTTAGTAAATTAGTAAGAGTGTATTGTTGGCCGGAGCTGTGGCTCACTAGGCTAATCCTCCACTTTCAGCGCCGGCACATCAGGTTCTATTCCCGGTCGGGGCGCCAGATTCTGTCCCGGCTGCGCCTCTTCCAGGCCAGCTCTCTGCTGTGGCCCGGGAGGGCAGTGGAGGATGGCCCAAGTGCTTGGGCCCTGCACCCGCATGGGAGACCAGGAGAAGCACCTGGCTCCTGCCTTCGGATCAGCGTGGTGCGCCGGCTGCAGCGGCCATTGGAGGGTGAAACAATGATAAAGGAAGACCTTTCTCTCTCACTGTCCACTCTGCCTGAAAAAAAAAAAAAAAAGGATGTATTGTTGCTAAAAATATCCCACAGAGGGAGTCTTGCAAAGATCTTTTAGATTTAGAAATAGCATGTGTACATTTTATTCATTAGAAGGCATCAGGAGCAATTTAGCACCATTGAGAATTTATTTCTTACAAATGCTGTCAGAATGCTGGGTGAATTTATTCCTGTATAATTATATCGTGTTTTACATTAGGCTGGAAGCAGAAATGTGAAATCCTTCAATATGAGATTTTTTGCATAGACAAACAAGTCAACAGTCATCTGAATAAATCATTTTCATTTTCGTTTCAGTGATGAGAAAGTCAGTTGTTCTTGCACATCTTTGTTCCTAGCCTTGATTATATTTTTACTTCAGATGTTGTCCCTGGGTGGATCTCTCTTAGATGAATTATATGGCATCTTCCACGGAAAATCTTTTTCATATTACTTTTGTACTCGCCAATTGGAGTTAAAATGGAATATTTCTCTAACTGTCATGTTTTTATTTTGAATCTAAAGTATTTCATGAATTTCAAAACCTTCAGAGAACTGGGCCATTATGATATTGTGCTGGATCACAAGATGATTTATTTTATTGACTAATTCTTATAATTTAGGTTAAGGATACGGTCCTCCACTAGAGAACATAGAACAGAGATAATAAATTTAGTATTTTGTGTATTCCCTGTTTTCCAGAAATTAAACACTGCTGGAACCAGTAATGCGGGTGTCCCCTTGGCGGATCCAGGAATGTACCAGTTGGACATTACATTAAGAAGGGGTCAAAGTTTAGCTGCCCGAGATCGAGGAGGTAAGAGCAAAAGAAAAATACCCTTTATTCGCTTTGTCTGTGTGTTTGTGATAAGTATTGTTTCCCTTATGATTGTTTAAGTTACAAAAAAACACCAAATTTTGGTTAAAAATTATAAAAACTATTATAAATTTTTTAGAAATTTTTAGAACTGTGGGTCCAAAGGTGCGGTTTAATACGTTACATGGCTTCTTTGACCATGGAGGAACAGGCATTGAGAGAAGACAAAATGCTGATTGATCTGTTCCCAACCCTGAGAGCAAGAGCTCTATAACCTACTGACAAATCAGACTCTTGTGTTTGGTTAGTGACCCAGTTACATAGGTGAGGCGTGCATCTGAAGCCATTTCAAAAGCTACCTCGAAATTACTTGGTCGCATAGATCTACTCTGTTAAATTTCAGAATCCAGGATTAGTATCTCCCCAAAGCTGCAGAGATTCCCAAGAAGGGATCTTCTGAGGCTTAGTAACTCCTTGCAGTGGCCTCATGGTGGATTAAACAGGTCTTTGGAGGCCATGAGGTAGCGCAAGACAAAGCAAATGCTGTTGCGTGCCTGGATTCAAAAACCCAAGGCCATCTCCTAATGGGCTAGCCTGGGCCACAAGAGGGATTCCTTGAACCCAGAGTAGAGGCAGGACGAGGGATAGATCTCAGACAATGCAGTGTCCTTTGCACATTTTAAATGCAAGCTGTGGAGGAAGCAGCGTCCCAAGAGCCCCCAGTCCCATGGAAGCTGAATTCGTGTATGACTTCTGCTACCCGGAGAAAGGAGCATCCCTAAGCCTACGCTGGCCTGTTGTCAGACCAGCTGGGAGTGCCTCTGGCATCATATAGTCTTGTTTTTCTTCTCTCACCCTATTGACAGCCATACTTAGGGAGTAGGAGGAAGTAGGTTAAGGCTGTACTTTGTAGTTCTGTCTCCTGTCTCTAAAGGAATAAAATAGATACATGCTTCAGTATGATACCAATATTTGATTAGTTCTAGAACATATATCAATAGATATCAATAGTACATTCAACTTTTAGATAAAAAGTTACAACTATCAGAATATCCTTAATGAAAGAGGATGTGATTGAAAATATTGGGATTTAAGCAGGAAGGAGAAGTTTTCAAAATTGGCCATCTGATTTAGTGTTTAGGGGCAAATGTTCATTGAATTGAACTGTGTGTCTCAAAAAGGAGTTACAAGTGGATTAGAAAAAGAGAATAATGCTAATAGCATAGTAATTTTTTGCTATATTTATATAACATTTGCTAGTTTTTCCCATGTTCTCTGTATTACATCATTTGAACTGAAAAAACAAGTTGACAACAAATCAAAGTTCACTCTTGAATATGACGCACATAACTATTTTAAATACATAGGTATACAATTATTTATTGTAGCATTGTAGTTATAAAGTATCTGAAACACCTAAATATCCATAAATTGGAAGAGTGAGTGAATAAACTATGGTGCACTTATTGGGAGAATACCGTATAGCTGCAAAAAATCTCTAGGAATTCATGTGGAACAATTGACAGTATATTGCTAAGTTCACTTAAGCAAAGTGCAAAAGAGTATCAATAGCATGCCACACTTCATGTAAGAGTTGGGGGGTATGAGAAGTTATGCATTGACTGCTCGTCTGTACAAAAAGAAATACAGGAAATTAAAGCCAGAAACTAACTAGATTGGTAACACAGAGAATGTAGGTAAGAACGGTTGGCAGGAATGGGGGATTGAGAGTGGGGTAGGAAGGGTGAGGAGGAAGTGGCATGGCTCAGCACATGTTCTTAGGTGGTTCTCTAACCATCGTGGAATCCCAGCATGTCAGAATTGGTGAATAAACCCACCTGGGTGTGGGAGGATTGAACCCAAAGTGGGGTAAAATGACCACACCTGTGGGGAGATGAGCGTGATAAAACAGCCCATGGGAGACACCATGCGTGCAGAGTGTGATTATTGTGTGATGATTTCATTTGCATACGAGGAGCTAGCAAATAAGCAACTCTCTTAATGATGGAGAGGGAGGTTTCCCACTATGGGGGAAGGAAATCACAAACAGAGGAAGGAGGAAGCTGGAATGAACCCTGTGGGGTTAGACAGCGATCAGGAGGAGCTATGGCATTTAATATAGATCCAGATAGATAAAAATAAACATGGCTAGATGGGTGTGTGTGTGTGTGTGTGTGTGCGTGTGCATCACGTGGATTCCTAAATCTTTCTGTTGAGATCACCTAGCAACTAACAAGGGTAGAATGACAAAACAGCAATCAACACACCCAAGGCTCAGCTATTAGTTTTGAAATACAATTTCTCCAATACAAGTAATCAGGAATCCAAGAGAAATGATTGATACCAGACCTGGGGCAGAGGAAGAACAAGATGAGCCTGGAACATTTTACAGTGCATGAAGGGGAAGCCCTGAAGGCAGGATGTCAAAACAACACAGGAGCCAACTTAAAGGAGGTCCTAGTGCCCATGGCTAGGACAGTTTCAACAAGAAAACAAACGATAGTAATATAACAGCTTGCCATCTTTAGAACAAAATAAGTATCTATGGGGTCATTCTGATAAGAAACAATGGAGTTGGTAAGTAACAGGGAGAAAGGGACAGATTTTCCTTGTGGTGGAATAAAAGGATGGGGACACAGAAATAGAAAATCAGCTTTTCACAAACACGGCATAATGACTGTAGGCCAAAGTCTTCAGTGGTTGCTAAAATTGTGTGTGCAAAATTATGCTGTGAAACAGAACATCTACAGCGTTTCAAAGTTTTTCTGCACAGACCTGTATAAATTATAAAAGGAAACATAGTAGCTTTACAGTTGAGAAAACGTAGAAGATTCTACCTTCCCCAAGCTATCCAAGTTGCCGTGAGAAGTAACAGGACATGCAGATGTCGCATACTTCCTATTTCGGTGAAATTCTTATCAAAAATGCATAGGTTCCATGCAGTCACCAGCAAACACCAAGCAAACTCTGCAGCCTGAGACACCAGTCATCTGAGCTAAGCAGCCTCTACCTTTTGGACAGGGTGTGTACAGCCTTTCCCCATCGTTCCCTGTGTCTGCACTGCTGTGAGTCCACATCTCACTGTGTGTGCACCACTCTCTTTCTCACAGTTGCAAGTTATTCTGTATGGCCTCTCTACCAAAAATAAAGTAATTTTCAGTAGAAGCAGAGGACCATTGTACTAAGGAAAGTTGGGAGAGAAAATATACTTTGTAGGAGTGAAGACGATTCCTAAGAGTTTAAAATTCCAACTCCTACCAGCTTCTCTAGTTTACTCATCTGCCTGGTGTTATGGTTTGGATGCTAAGTGCCCTCCCCTAGAGGCCCCTGTAGTAAAGGGTTCATCCTCTGGGTGGCGCTGTTGGGGGGGGTGATGGAGCCTTGAGGAGCTGGGGCCTGGGGAGAGATGCTGAGATCACTGGGTGCATGGTCTCCAAGGGGACTGTGGGACCCTGGTCTCTCATCCTCTCTCTCTGCCTCCTGGCGAGTTTCCTCCTCCACACGTGCTCTGCCTTCTGCTGTGGGACCTCTGCTAGAGCCTGCACCACCCCATTCAGACCTTCCATCTCCAAATCTGTGAGCTCAAAAAACCCCTCTTTCCTTGATGAGTAGCCTGTGTCAGGCATTTCATGATAGTAACCAAAAGGTAACTAATAGACTTGACGAGGGGATATTTTAATTTGGTGTATATAAGATTTTTAAATAAATATTAAGATATTTAAAGATATATTTAAATATAGAAGTATAAATATTAAGATATTTAAAGGGAAGAAACAACCTTAGTGAAATTTGGGATAGATTATTTATCTTCCAGCCATCTATGAATCCCTACATATTATACATTTGATTGGGTAGATAGTATTAGGTCAGTTTATGATGATTTAGTGGGATAGTTACATGAAAATGAACAGTTTGAGAAGAAAGCTTGAGAGCACTGAAGTTAAGTGGGGGTACGGTTTTGAAAGCTTGAACTGGGGTGATGGGTGTGGAAGGAGAGAAAGAGCGGAATATATGAGGGGTGATCAAGGCACTATCCATTTTTGCTTGGGATCAGTTGTACAAGGGGGCTGAAAAAACAAAAACCATTGAGGCTTTAAGATCTGTGGTTCCTGGGAGCCATGGGGACTTTGGAAAGGATGTCCATAGCCAAAACACTTGCAGTAATTGTTACAATCAGTAGAAATGTCCCAGCGAAACCGAAATGTTCTTGCCCATTCTGTCTCATATCCCCATTGCAGAGAATAGTGGCGGGGAAAACGCATTTCCTCCACCACCACCCACCACCATCTCTGGAAAGTGGTTTGAATTTCCCAGAATCCTCCTTCATTTGTAACAGGCACCCAAGCAGGCTTGGCAGTTGGAGCTCACCATCATTCCTCTGTGTTTATGAACTGTTTCCCAGAGCAACCACCAGATGCTTTATTGAAATGCTCCTACCTTTTCCCAAGGTTTGTTATCTCTGGTTTAGGCAGCCTGATCCTGGGGGCATCTGACACATATAAGTTCAAATCCAAGTTTCATATATTAGCTGCTGGTTGAGTGAGAAGTGTAGTCTTGATACTGAAGTGATAGGGTTCCAGAGTTAGCAAATAAAAATGCAGGATGCTTACTTTAATTTGAACTGCAGGTAAATAATTGATTATCTGTTAGAAAGATGTATAAATGTGTCTTCTAATATTTGAGATGTATTTCTAATTTTTTGTTTATATGGAAATATGATTGGGGATCATTTTATCTGGCAACTCCATGCACTTGTCTTAGAAAAGGGCTATTTGAATTTTAATTATGTTGGGCTTTTAAGGTGAGACATTTTTTGACAGATCTTGTATGCTCATCTATCAAAGTTGGAATGCAGTGATTTGACATGGTTATTTGTACTGTTAGAAAAAAATCAGACCAGTGTGGATGTGTCTTGGAAAAGCAATTTCCCACAATTGGATTTCTTGAAAATTGGATCTTGGAGGTTTGAATCATTTACTAGAGCTGCCTTCACAGATTAC